GACGGCCAACAGTGGTTGGGTTGGTCATTGGTGGGGGTGGTGGCTTGGGTGGGCTAGAATTTCTTTTGAATTCATGGGTAATTTTGTCCAAAAAGTTAATTAATTAGAGTGAAATAGTCAAAGCTATATTCATGTAAATTAATTTAAAAGTAAGGGTATTATTGTCCTAAAATTTTGTTAATAAGGGATAGAACTGTTACAAAAAAAAGATTATCTTGGTAATCTTATAATATTTAAGAAAATAGAGGTAATCAGATTACCTCCAATATTACCAACAGTAACTACTATTGGTATTTGAAGATTACCGAAATCTTATATTACTTGACAACCAAACGTGATAATAAAATAATATAAGATGACATAACTCTAGTAATCCCACATAACCCCCAACCAAATGCCCCTTTACTTTTAAATTAATTTACATGAATATAGCTTTTATATTTCACCCCAAATAATTAACTTTTTGGACAAAATTACCTTTGAATCCAAAACAAATTGCAGACCACCCAAGCCACCACCCCCACCAACCCAGCCACTACTGGCCGCCAACAACCACCGTCGGCCTCAGATAGCTGACAACCTAACGGCGCATGGAAGGCCAGAAAATGGCCGTCATGTGCTGGTATGGCCATTTCCGGCCAAATATCTCGCCGAAAATGAACAGATCGTGATAGATCTGGCTAGAAAATAGCCATTTTTTGGCTTTTCATGTGCCGTTAGGTTGCTAGCTGTCGGCTAGCAGTGGCTGGATTGGTGGGGGTGCATTGTTGATTTTTCAAACTTTTATTATGGGGTTGTTTTTGCTAAGTTTTTAAATATAAGAGGGTTATAAATAATCCAAATAATAATCTAAATAACAATATTAAATAATAATATTTAATTAGAGGACAATTCAGTAATTTAAATAACATACCTGCCAATTTATTCCTCTCAACCAAACATATTAATAAAACATACTCAACAATTTATTCCAACTAACCAAACACATTTTCTTAAAGATTCCTAGTAATCTTCAAGGTAATCTAACTTTTCAGTAATCCAACATTCCCTAAACCAAACACACCCTAAGCGTATTATTGTCCTAAAATTTTATTAATAAGGGATAAAATTGTAACAAAAAAAAAAAAAAAGATTACTTTAGCAATCTTACAATACCTCTAAAATAGAGGTAATCAGATTACCTCCATATTACCAACAGTAACTATATTGGTATTTGAAATTATCGGAATCTTATATTACTTGCCACCCACACGTGATAATCAGTATATAAACACATAACCCCTATAATCCCACATAACCCCATCCAAATGCCCTCTAAGTGTGATCACTAATTACCAAAATCGGACATGTATGCCATATTTCTTTCCATCTTTTAGACAATAGTAGAATCGAACAGCTTGTTTCAGTGACACGAATGACAAAATATGGTGCAAGATTGAATCCGGCAAGGCCGATATTCTATCAAGATTATCAATTCTCTTCTCCATCACATCACAGCCTGAGTAGCCTATAGAATAAACAAGTTTATGAAATACTATTAGAAGACAATTTATTTTAAATGATTCCGAGGTTGAATAAATTTAAACACTAAGAGCTACGGTCACATGGTTAACAGAAAAGAAATGCACCTACACATAAAAGAAAAACAAAGTCTTCCTAACTAAAAACGTCATCTTCGGCGAAAATTTTAAGGGTAAAGAAAAGCCATTGTTGTATTCTGTAAGTACATGATACTCAAACATAAAAAATATAGAAAGATTAAGAAAGAAATTTAAATTGAAGTAAAGAAAGCACCTTTTTCGCCCAATCCAAACGATTTCCCAAATGGGTCCAAGAAGCTTTTACATTTGAGGGGTTGAAGATTCTTGGGCTTAGGGCCAGGGTCCTCAGGATGGAATTTCTTTAGTCTTAGAGGAAATTGACCCGCCTAGTGCTTAATAAGAGGAAAAGAGGTGTTACAGAAACGACGTCGGACAAGAGGAAGGAATAAGTTGTGCAGCCATTTTTGTTTTGAAAACTGCGTGATATCAAGTGCATCAATGCACGTGCACCGCATCACATAATTAATGAAATAAAAATACACTTATAACTTAGTTACACAATTCTAATGTAATAGCAGAATTGACTCTATCACATTAACTGATGACTTTAACTAAATATAAACAATCGTTCCTTAAAGACGAACGATTGTTCTTTATTAAGGAATGACTATTTGAAACGATTGTTCATTTATAAAGAACAATAATTTCTTATAAAAGAATGACTATTCGTATTTAGTCAAAGTCATTTTGTGCTTTGGGTATGGTCAGAGTTGACAGTTGTCAATTCAGCTGTCACGTTAAGATTGTAAGAGAATGTTGTGAGATTGAGTTATGAATATAGTATTACTCTTAATGAAAGGTGAAACGGTTAATAAGCAACTCACTTTCATCTCATGTTGTCATAGATACAAATTCTATTCAATTTGTTCTGGTACCACTTTCAGGGATGGATGAACATTTATTTCAATATCCTATGGTAATTGGATGCATCCAAATTTCAATCTTGAAATTCCTGACAAAGGGATGGTCATATTATCATAAAAGTTGAATACAACAAACATTAGTTCTTCATGAAAAAGAAGTGATCCAACCACCCCTTGCACTAAAGCTACCTTGTTATGACTTAATTTCAGTCACTAGCCTTGCCTTTGTGTCACCAATAATACTTTGCGTATTAACGGATTTTATTAACCAGTGTACTAACCTTTGTTAAAATCACATATGGTACCCATACTATGTGTATAGTACTTGTACTATGCTTTAGGTTAGTATACTGGTTAGTAAAATCTGTTAGTACCCATAGCATTACCCGTGTGTCACAGGCCTAGAGTTTTCATGCAACGTAACAGTCTATGCAACTCTCTAACATCATACTTAAGAGGGGTAAGCCTACACGTATGTCATTCATCGACTTGAGGTCTACTGCTTTCGTCTTGTCATGGACTCATTATGGAAGCGGCTCCAACTCTCGACCAGTTTGTACATGGATGGCCCAATCCCTTCTTCATCATCGACTATGAAAAACAACTCCTAACGGTTCTTGCACTCCCCTTTCATGGAGTATCTCCTTCTTGAAAAGTCTTTTAAAGTATTGCCAATATGCCAAAAAGAAACACGTGACGTCTCAACTATCACATCACATGTGAATGCTTTGCAAAACTCTTTTACCTCATACATTTACCACACTTGTTGCTTTTGTCACGACATTACAGCATAAGGTCGTGACAATTTGACACCCCCTTCTTTTAACTTTGGTTATAACCAATTCCCATAGTGTGTGTGACAAGCTATGTGTAGAAGGCTTTAAGAACAAATTTATTGTCATACCACTGATTGACAATTACTAAATGTAGTATTTATATCAAAAGATTATATGTAAAAGTAATGACAAAACATGATTAAAAGCAAATAAGGTAAAAGCAAATAAGGCAGTAATAAAATTCACATAATAATTTGACAAAAAGTGTTGCCATTGATGAGTATAGCAATACAGTACTGCTAGGTTTACAATCCAATCTTATAACATTTCCTCACAATCTCCGACGTGACAACTCGTAATTGGTTAGCTCTCAAATGGGCAAGTATGACTAATAGCAAGCAAGTGAGATCCATTTACGAACTATCAATTATAAGTTGTCACATCATGGATTGTGAAAGATTATTGTAAGATTGAGTTATTGACTTAACATTACTCATAGCAATAACTCAATCAAAATTACCAACAAAAATCTACTTGTTAATTGTCAACTTTCTAGCTGGTTTCCCACCCCCCCAAAAAAAAAAAAAAAAAAAAACTTAAAATGAGTGGCTAAAACCCTAAGTGGGGTCCTAAAAACACATGGCCAAGTCACCAAGTCCTTGATGTTCGTCTTGTTTTAATGTTTAGGTTACAAACATATCCACCTCCACCACCATCGAGACAACTCCCCCACAAACACCATTTCACAAGGTTGACCCCACCAACAACATATAAATTACCCCAACAAAAATCCAGTAAAAATATCTACTCTTTTTATTCAATTTTATATACCCATTTTAGGATTAGGAATTTGATATCTTGCCAATTCTTTTATCTTTTGTATTTTATTTGAAAGGCCATCAAAATCTATTGCATTTAAGTTTTAACTGAGATTTTACAAAGCTTTGTTACTTTTGTATACAAGGAATTAAAAAAACTGATTCTTTGAGGTTTGATGTAATAACAAAAATTTCCTTCTGAATGATATTCAATACACCTCAGTTTATAAAGACAATTATCTTTGTTTAAATAATACCATATGATCAAACAGTGAACAATTATGGGAAAAATCCGATGATTTTATGCCATCATAGTACGCTCCGGAATAGTATTATTTTCATATCAACCATCGAAGAAATCCAACAGTCTCACAATAAACAAACATCAGAGAATCCAATGATCGAAATGCCATAACGTTCCCCTAATAACATATAAGTTTCCTGATTCTAGTCAATCTCTCAACATGCTATTAACATAAAGATTGCTAACCAGAAGATGTTAGAACGCCAGGGCAAGCAAAATTATATCACAAGCTACTGCTACATACAACATACGTCAAACTGATTTGCCTTCATGAAAATATAACTCGAAAACTGATACCTATTGAAAGTTACCCAATGTTACATGAGAATTCGATAATGAAACCAGAATTTCTTAGTTGCTACTGATATCAAACAGATAACTATTTATCTCCATCAAACAGATAACTAAACTTATTCCTCAAATTCAAATGAAGATTATTAAGCTCATCNGATATGCCATGACGTTCCCCTAATAACATATAAGTTTCCTGATTCTAGTCAATCTCTCAACACGCTATTAACATAAAAAATTGTTAATCAGAAGATGTTAAAACGCCAGGGCAAGCAATATAGTCACATCAGTAAAATTATATCATAAGCTACTGCTACATACAATCTACGTCAAACTGATTTGCCTTAATGAAAGTTTAAGTCAAAAAACTGATACCTATTCAAAGTTACCCAACGTTACACAAGAATTCGATAATGAAACAAGAATTTCTTAGCTGCTATTGACATCAAACAGATAACTAAACTTTTCCCTCAAATTCAAATCAAGATGATTAAGCTCCTCCCAGATATTGTCATGAAAATAGAAACTTTCTCCATAAGTATGCATCTCCAAGGTCTTCCTCTCTAAAGAGAACCTGTCTACAGAAGCAGGCTGAGAAAAAAATGTCGCAGTATGTTCAATCTTAACTCCCTTGAGACAATTCTGCCAACATGAAATGGGAAGGGATTGGCAACAACTAGGAGTCTTTCCTTCGTGAATAAGCTGCTCCTTGTATGAGAACTGAAACAAAAATCAATGGCAATAAACAATAGTTCTTATCCACATAAAGGACATTGTCTTAGGATCCAATTTAATTTTCCCATTTTCTTCTCGATAGGAAACAGAAAAGAATTTAATTACTGATCAGTAGGTTATTAATCCTCATTCAGCTGAACCACTGATGACAAATATTCCAAAAATAAAAAATTCATCCTAACTCTACCTAAAAGTAAATAGTGAATTTTTTTTTTTTTTTTTTTTTTTTTTTTTTTTTNAGTACATAATGCATAGTTAGAATATGTTGATTTCAAAAACTAGAATTTTATTATCTAAATTAACTATCATTTATGTTTTGATTTATCACATCAAGAGCTACTATTTGCGAGAACCTTTACCTCCTTTAACATGAAAGGCATAAACATAGTAAAACAAACAAAAATGGTTATTCAATCAAAATCTCCTAACAGAACCTCACAGCATATACCAAGTCTTGAATTCGTAAATGTAATACATCCGGTACCTGAAAAGAATACTTATGACTGTCACCTAAGTGAAAACTCATCGATATAGTCTCTATATGAGGTGAAAGCCAGAGCAAGCTGTCCACTAGGTCGGGAATTGTAAAATCAAACAGATCATCTATTTTGAGGTTCAAATGTTTGACACCGCATAAAGGGGGATGTAAGATTTGCCGCCATTCTCTAGGAACAATGAAAACCTTCACAAAAGCAATATATATACATATATATATTAGTAAGAAAAGAAAAGAAAAGAAAAGAAATTTTGATTAAAAGCATATTTAAAAAAAGAGATTAGTAAATATAGACGTACCGCACCCGTGCAATGTTGCAAATTTAGCACTTCAGAACACCGATTAAAGTTCGCAAGAAGTTCAACATACTTAACTAAAACCTGAATATCAACCTGAATATCATCATCATTACCACAGACGTAGAGATCAGTTTCTGACAAAGCCATAGCATTTAAGGTAAAGGATATTGGATGACCCGAAAATTTGAATATGCTTAAATTAGGAGTCTCAAGCTTTACTTCAACCAAATCAGATCCATTGATGACCAATTCCTTAAGACTAGGACTTGAAATTTTGATACTCCTTAGCTCATCACAAGAAGTTATGCTTAAGAACTGGAGCAGTGAAAAATCTGAAATTACACTACACAACCAATCATCCTTTATTGAAAGCTCTGATAATAGTAAGAATTTCAGATTCTTACAAGAGGCTACATTGATCACACATGTTTTCATATCAGTAATAGTTACTGAATGAACATTCAATGCATTGATCTCCACCTTTTCGAGTTCATCATTGTTGCTTATCTTGATTTCATGGAGCTCGCTAAGACCAAATAGCTCTAGGCTTTTAAAGCCTTCAGATGATTCAATTGTCAGATACTCAATCAATGGGCACCTAGCAAAGAGATTCTCAATCATTTGATCATCTGCATAAACACCCACCAGACACAATTTTCTCAAAGACAACTGCACACCAATTCTTGGACGGGACAGATTACAGCGATACAACTCTAACACATTAATTGATTTTGCACAAAAAACAATTTGAGGCAAATTGTATCCTACCCTGAAAATTGGAAATCGAAGTCCAAGCTCATTGACATTACTTCCAATTGCAAAGCAAACACATCGATCTACCAATGCTGCAAATTCATCATCCCAAAAGAACAACAAGCTAATCATGAGCTTCGTTAAACTTATCATCTCCATGTGACGGTTTAGTAAAGTTTGTTCCATACACTTCAACACCTCTTTTGCCCTTGCAAAACGATCGCGAGTCTGATCATCATCAAGTACTAATATCGGACATGTATGCCATGTTTCTTTCCAGCTTTTAGACAATACACTAGTTCGAACAGCTTGTTTCGGTGACACGAATGACAAAATATGGTGCAATATTTCATCCGGCAATGCCGATATTCTGTCAAGATTATCAATTCTGTTTTCCATCGAATCACACCCAGAGTAGCCTATAGAATAAACAAGTTTATGAAACACTATTAGAAGACAACTTATTTTACATAATCCTGAGGTTGAACAAATTTCAACATTTAAGCTACAGTCCCATGGTTAACTAAAAAGAAATGCACCCACACAGAAAAGAAAAACAAAGTCTTCCTAACTAAAAACCTCATCTTCAGCGAAAATTTTATGGGGAAAAAAAGGCCATTGCTGTACTCTGTAAGTACATGATATCAAAAATTAAAAAAACAAAAAACAAAAAGATTAAGAAAGAAATCGATATTGAAGTAAAGAAAGCACCTTTTTCACCCAAACAAGCGATTTCCCAAATGGGTCCAAGAAGGTTTTACTTACATTTGAGAGGTTGCAGATTCTTGTTTCTTAGGCTTAGGGTTACGGTTTTTAGGAGGGAAATAAAAATACAAAAAGATTAAGAAAGGAATCGATATTGAAGTAAAGAAAGCACCTTTTCACCCAAACAAGTGATTTCCCAAATGGGTCCAAGAAGGTTTTACTTACATTTGAGAGGTTGCAGATTCTTGTTTCTTAGGCTTAGTGTTACGGTTCGTAGGAGGGAATTTTTTAGTCTAGTAGAAATTGACCCGCCAACTGCATAACAGGAGGAGGAGAGGTGTTATAAAAACGATATCAGAAAAACGGAAAGAGTAAGTTGAACGGGCATTTCAAGCAGAGGACAATACAGTAATATAATTTTTATTTTGTTTATTTTACATATGCAATAAATAGATCCCGTTTGTTCAATTACGAACTGATTAGTTGCGAGTTATCACGTTAGAATTATGATAGAAAATTTATATGATTGGATTGTGAGCAAATTTTTATCCCTTAAGTATATCAATGTAATGCATCACACAAAAATTAATGATAGGTGAATTATGTACATATCATAGAAGTCGTATCCAATAAACATTAGCTGTACCTAAAAAAGAAGTGATTCAGCCTATAAACCTTGAACACCCTATCCTACAAACCCAAAAGACTAAGTAAGTCATAATGTTATTGTAATAGATAGAAAATAAATAAACCTCTTTGACCGTTAAACCAATCCCTTAAAATTTTCCTTTTAGCTTTGGTTATGACCAATTCTCATAATGTATGCAATGTGTAAAAGATTTAAGAATAAATTTATTGTCATACGACTGTTTGACAATTACTAAAGATATTATTTTATATCAAAAGATTATTGGTAAAAGTAATGATAAAACATGATTAAAAGCAAATAAGGGCACTAACAAGACTTGCAAAATAAGTTGACAAGGGTGTGAAAGGTAGTAGTGTTGTGTTTAGTGTTGCCATTGGTAAGTATAGCAATAACTCAATCAAAATTACCAACAGACATCCACTTCTTGTTTAATGTCAACTGCTTGGGAGATGTGATTGCCTCTCTTGCTCAAAAGAATTCTCATGTTCCCTATAGAAACATTAAACTTACTCAAATAGAGCAAACTCGTTCCAGGCTATTGGGGCTTTTGAAGTAAGGAGGTCATTGAGTCTTTTGGTGGTAGAAAGTTGGATTTTGGTAATTAGGATCAATCGGAATTTGAATTGTAAGGCGCGGCTGTGCAAACTCTAATCGTTCGATTGTCGGCGATTAGCAGGGTGAGAGTAGGGTTTGAAAGGTTATGGTGAGTGATGATCGAGAAAGAGAATGGTGATGGTGTGGAGTCACAAACAAAATATAAATTTGAGTAGTAAAATGGTATTTTGAAAATTTGTGGATGGGAAATTGTCATTAAGCTATTATTTGGACAGGAAAAAGTCGTTTATTCGAAAAAGAATTGATCCAAATGCACCTTAGAATAAGGCTATACCTTATTATGACTTCATTTTAGTTACTAGTCTTGCCTTTAGCACCACCCTTTCTTTTAACTTTGGTTATAATCAATTCCCATAATGTAACATGCGATGTGTAAAAAGGCTTAAAGAACAAATTTATTGGCATATAACCACCACTGGATGAAGTGATAGTAAAAAGAGCAAAAGAGGATCTAACTTGATCTTCTAAATTCGAGTCTCCATTATGGTAAAAGAACAAAATATAGAAGATTTAACATGGTCTCTCGAGTTCAAGTCCCCACAAACCCTAATAGGGTGGCAACTAGTTGAGTTCAAGTCCCTACAAACCCTAATAAGGGTGGCAACTGAGCCTTGTACCCAAAGACGATAATTTCAGAGTCCCAAAAGATTAATTGAGATGCATACAAGTTGGATCGAACACACTCGGTGATAAAATAAATAAATAAATAAATAAAGATAAGTTGACAAAAAAAAAAAAAAAAAGGACAGAATAGTCATTTTATATGAATTTTGTAAAATTTTTATCTGTTTATATGTCTAATTGTATGACTCGGTTGTAAGTATAGCATTATTGTAAAACACCACACCAAGAAACCTAGTCACACCGGTACAATTATATTACAAGCTACTGCCACATACAATATACGTCAAACTGATTTGCCTTCACAAAAGTTTAAGTTGAAAACTGATGCCTATTCAAAGCTACCCAACATTACATGAGAATTCGATAATGAAACCAGAATTTCTTAGTCGCTTCTGATATCTCCATCAAACAGTAACTATACTTATTCCTCAAATTCAAATAAAGATACTGTCGTGAAAATAGAACCTTTCTACGGAAGTACGCATCTCCAAGGTCTTCTTCTCAAAAGAGAACCTGTCTACAGAAGCAGGCAGACCGATAAGTGTCCAAGTATGTTCAATCATAACTCCCTTGAGACAATTCTCCCAACATGAGACGGGAAGGGATTGGCAACAACTAGCAGTCTCTCCTTCGTGAGTAAGCTGCTCCCTGTATAAGAACGGAAACAAAAATCAATGGCAATAAACAATAGTCCTTATCCACAAAAAGGACGTTATCTTAGTATCCAATTTCTTTATCCCATTTTCTTCTGGAGAGGAAACAGAAAAGAATTCAATTACTGTCATATTTACAGTACATAATGCATAATTAGAATATGTTGATTTCAAAAAGTAGCATCTGATTATCTAAATTAACTATCATTTATGTTTTGATTTATCACATCAAGATCTACTATTTGAGAAAACCTTTACCTCCTTTAACATGAAAGGCATAAACATAGCAAAACAAACAAAAATCGTTAATCAACCAAAATCTCCTAATAGAACCTCACAGCATATACCAAGTCTTGAGTTCGTTAATGTAATATATCTGGTAACTGAAAAGAATACTTATGAATGTGAACTAAATGAAAACTCATCGATATAGTCTGTATATGAGGTGAAAGCCAGAGCAAGCCCACCACTGGTTCTGGAATTCTAAAATCCAAAAGATCACCATCTATTTGGAGGTTCAAATGTTTGACAGCGCATAAAGGGGGATGCAAGATTTGCCTTCATTCTCTAGGAACAATGATAATCTTCACACACACACCAAAATAATAATAATAATAAAAATATGAGAAGGGGGGGGAGGGAGGAGGAGTTAGAGCTTCAAAAATATGATGACAAATTACACATAAAAAAAAAAAAAAAAAAAATTTATTAAAAGCATATTTAATAACAGATATTAGTAAATATATACCTACCGCACCCATGCGATGTTGCAAATTAAGCACTTTAGAACACTGCTTAAAGTTTGAAAGAAGTTCAATATACTTAACTAAATCCTGAATATCACAATAACCATAGACGTAGAGATCAGTTTCTGACAAAGCCATAGCATTTGAAATAAAGGATATTGGATGACCCCTAAATTTGAATATACTTAAATTAGGAGTCTCAAGCTTTACGTCAACCAAATCAGATCCATTGATGATCAATTCCTTAAGACTAGGATTTGATACTCCTTAACATATGACAATTAGTTATGCTTAAGAACTGGAGGAGCAAAAAATCTGAGATTACATTACATAACCAATCATCTGTTATTGAAAGCTCCGATAATAATAAGCATTTCAGATTCTCACAAGAGGCTACATTGATCATACATGTTTTCATATCAGTAATAGTTACTGAATGAACATTCAGTGCTTTGATCTCCACCTTTTTGACTTCATCATTATTACTTATCTTGACTTCACGGAGTTTGCCAAGACTAAATAGCTCTAGGCTTTTAAAGCCTTTAGATGATTCAATTGTCAGATACTCAATCAATGGCCACCTAGCAAAAAGGTTCTCAATCATTTGATCATCTACATAAACATCCACCAGACACAATTTTCTCAAAGACTGCACACCAATTCTTGGACAGGACAGATTACAGCCATACAACTCTAACTCTATTAATGGATTTTGCACAAAAAAACAATTTGAGGCAAATTGTATCATCCCCTGAAAATTAGAAATAGAAGTTTAAGCTCTTTGACATTACTCCCAATTGCAAAGCAAACACATCGATCTACCAATGCTGCAAATCCTTGATCGTTCCAAAACAAGACAAGCGAATCATGAGCTTCCTTAAACTTACCACCTCCATGCGGCATACTAATAAGACTACAAAATAAGTTGACAAAAGTGTTGCCATTAGTGAGTATAGCAATACAATACTACTAGGTTTACAACTTAATTCACAATCTTCTCTCACAATCTCCAAAGTAACAGTTGTAATTAGTTAGTTG